TATAAAGTGAAAGTAATCATTCCCATAGCCAGGTGGTAGAGAATCAGAATATGTAGTTTGTACAGTGTTATTTTTAACTTGGTCTGATACGTGTTCCAGTTAAATGAATGCTGGAATAACAAGTATTTTTATATAACTCCACAGAAGCTGCAGATCTCTCTCTGAGTGCACACAATATAGATATATTGATATACACAAATATCTGCTATTACAGCAAATAAAATTTAATTTAATTAGCAGAAATGATATTAAATAAAAATTCTAATAATATTAAACAAACCATTTCTGGTTTATATAAATCAGAAGTTTAATATATTAGTATTTCTGGTTTATTGAATGAAATGTAATTAAGTCCAGGGAAATATGGGCAAGAAGTACTTATGTTGCCTGAAGACAGGTTTTTGTTCCTCAGTGTTTTTTCTCTATAGGTATCTGTCAATCTATATAACTGTCAATATATATAATAACGCATATATAGCTATTTGTAAAATAGAAAATATATAACACATAATATATAAAATAATACCTCTAATACAGTTATATATAATATATATTTAACTGTAATATATAATACATAAGTTATAACTATATTGAACATTTTATCTATAATACATAATATATGTAATAGCTTACAGTAGTTTTACAAAAACACAGAGTACTTACTGCAATGCCTTAAATACCTGCATTTCTGCTCTGCTCTCTGTCCCTTGAATAATTTAATGCTTTTGAGATATAGATGTACTGTTTATCGAAAGAATATATTGTCATATATAGCTATAAAATTGTCAATATCAATAACTGTCAATATCTATGATACAATATTTCTGTACTTCAGGTTCCTGTACATTGTTTGAGATACAAAATAGCAGAGTAGGTAGGTGGGCTGGTGTGGGTCAAGGGGGGCTTTTGTGCGTTGGATGCTTCTGAAAGCTGAGAATGAGACTTGCCAACCCAACGTGTGGGTAGGGCCGTGTCTGTGCACTAACAGGGTGATCATCTTAGCAGCAAGTAAAACTTGGGATTTTATTTTTACAGCTTCTGGGATGTATGTGGTTTTACATGGCAGCAGAAAAAGACATGTAGAAGTTCCCGTTTCACAAGTCTGGTCTGGATGCCTGAAGTCCTGCTGTGAATCCATTTTTCCTGCCGGGGGAGATGTTTAATAAACAGCTACCGTGCACAGAGCCGTTTGGCCAAGGATAAATCAGCAGGA